CAAATAAGAGTATGTCATCCAACAATTAAGTTATTGTCAGTTTCACTTGTTACAAACATATCTTAACATAAAAAATGACAGATATTGACCTGAAGCTTCCGGGGTTCCTGGATTACTTTCTTGAATTCCTGTTCCAGCAAGTGGATCTGGTCGCCCTGCCATCTGTGGGAGAAAGTATTGAGTTCTCAACGAAATATACCTGGCTATGCATGCAGTCTTATTTTATTTTCATAAAAAGCTGAGTAGGGGCCTTGGGGATGAGGCCTGCTGCCCGTGTTATTTCTAAGACACCCCTCTAAGCGTACGAAACGAAAACTAGACAAGTAGTCTTTGATTTGTTAATTGTGAGTTTTAGATGAACAACATTCAGATAAACCGCATGTAAATCACTTTGGCGTCGACTTTTCTGTTTGAATGTGATGTCATGTGTACACTTAGCACACTGTTAGACCAGCCATGGTAGGGAGATCCCATCAGAGGCACTTTCATTATTTCAAGCTGTGCCAATAACGATTGAAAATTGCCCCGAGGTGAAATAAAATTTGACCATGTTTTTGTGTCTTCGAGACCCGTATGTACCACGTACGACTGAGGCACTAAGTACCTTGAGCAGTCCGGTTAACGACGGAAAGGAAAAGGTCGATTAAAAAGGAATTGGTATTTATCTCAATAATTTAGAAAATGGCTGGAGATCTCTACTATCTCTTACGACACCAGACCTCGACTTCAGCATAATATGTGACATGTGTAAGCGGCGTTGAGTTCTGAATAGTGTGTTCCCGTTGTCAGACAAGACAAATGTTGGTGACTGAAAGATGGTGTTTAAGATGTGTACAAAGTTTTTAACACACGTGCGGAGCTTTTGCTCCACTTTTTCTGCTCGTGAAATCTTTTGTTTGTCCCGTTCTTACTCTATTCAGTTTAAAACAGAAACACAAACAATTCGTGGTCGGTTTCCCTGTTCTCAGACCACGCAAATTTGGGTGAATGTGTATGTTGATATTTTGCCGAGGGCGCTGAGATGTACAAATTGTTAAACGCACGCGCAGAGCTTTTTCTCTGCTCGTGAGATATTTTGTTTTGTCGTGTTCTCGTCGCCGTGGCCGTCGCCATCATGGTTTGCTAAAGATCGTACTGTGACCACAACTGCGCTATTGATTTAAATCCTTCTAGTATTTTCAGAATTAGCATACTTTCAAGGTGCGATCAAACTCTTCTATTCTTTCCAACTCGTAA